AATTGCTTGCACCATGTCGCATGTTTGTGATCTGTTTATATGTATTCTGGAGGTGGTTCATTACCTCATTAGTGCTAGCCGCACCCGAGTTTATTTCCACTTTATTTTTTTTGACTTTTGACAATTGTATGGAATATTTACCTATCCCAGTGTATCAGAGTGGCTGACCGTGGTTAAAGCTCTGTATGCTGTTACAAGCTATGAACGTAGAGGTTGTCTTCTTAAAAGGAGAACTATGGGGTTAAGGCTTTTCCCCATAGTTCTCCTTAGGGTAACGGGAGGACACAAACTAGTGTCCTCCCGTCACCCTAGGCTCAGTATACCGCGAGCTACAGCTCATTGTATACTGAGACGCCGCAGCTGAAGCGGATCCCAACAATTATGTCGAGATCTGCCCAGCTGCGTGAGTGACAGCTGGCTCTGCCTATCTAGAGGCAGAGCCAGCTGTACCCCCCCCCCCCCCGTCCGTTCCGCCAGTCAGCGCTGGCGGATCGGAGCGGGGAGGGGGGAATCCAGCCCCTCCCCTGTCACGGCAGAGTGCCGTGACAGGATCGAGAGGTGAGCGAATGCCGGTATGTGTTCACTCACCTCCCGATCTACTGAGCCGACCTGTAACAGTCTCATTGTCACAGGTCGGCTAGAACTATGAGGTGAGTGAAAAGCACCCACCTCATAGTTCTCCTTTAAATAAACTTTCTGTCCCAGTGACAATGGTCAGAGAAGGTGAAACTATCCAGCGGTGACAAAGCAATAGACATTCACCTTCTCTGGTGTTCTTTCCATTGTCACTGGAACAGAAAGTTTATTTAAGAAGACACCCTCGACTTTCATTGGCGAGCTTGCAACAGCATAGCGAGCTTTAACCACGGTCAACCACTCAGACACACTGGAGTAGGGACTTTTTTTCCCTAATTCCCAATTAAGGACAGTCTTGCCCCAGAAGAGGTTCAGTGTTTGTTGAGGGTTGGTGTTTTCTTCTTACGAAAGCGTCTTACAAAAGTACAAAGCATTTTTGTTGTTGTTGCCTGTGCAATCACCCACGGTGTAGCTCTAGTCTTAAAGCAGATCTAACATATTGCACTTCAGGTCCAAAATCCACAGAGCTCAGTCCCACAGCGTTAACCTCTTCTGGGGCAATACCGTTAGCAATGGGGAAAAGCAGACTGAGAATATAGAGACAACGCCACCAGCTGGACCTGAAAATTGCTCTGCAGCTAACATTTTGGAAAAAGTGCCTATTGCAGTGTATCAGAGTGGTTGACCGTGGTTAAAGCTCTCTATGCTGTTACAAGCTCACCAAAGTAGATGGTGTAGTCTTAAATACATTTTCTGTCCCAGTAACAATGGGTCAGATAACCAGGACATTGTCCCCACTGAATCTAGTGGGGACAAAGCAATAAAAATCTGATAGGGGTGCTGACTCTTCCCCACTTTAATACAAAGTTACAGCTGGAGTTCCACTATATTAAGAATTCAGCATATAAAAAAAAAAAAAACAAACGGATTTTTGTACCCCCTGTAAAATCCTTTTAATGGAAGCCATTAAGGGACAAGGGAAGTCTTAAAGTGGAACACCAGGAATGATCCTTTATGGATACTTACATTGGTCAAGCTTGGCTCACTCCAAGTATCCAGTAAGTATCCAATCAGGGATCCAGAACAGAGCAAATGCCGCCCCCCCCCCCTGTGGCTGGGAAACGGTAGAACAGTTCCAGGGGTTTTACTCCAAACTGTCCGTCACAGGAACTGGCGCAATGACACCTTGATCCAGATCCAGAACACATGACAGGGTTCATAGGAGATCTGCCAATCCGTGTGGCGACAAAGAAATGCTGGAGGTGAGAAACTGAGAAAGGGGCAAGCAGCCTTGGCATACAACCTCCTTCCACCAAGCTTTGGTGATGCAAGCTGTCCAAGCACTTACAAGGGTTAAAGTTTCCCCCACTCTGGAAAGCGGGGGCACACCTCCATGCAGAAGGTGGTCTATTTAAAAAGATTTGGCAGACTGAGTGCCAGACCTCACGGGTGGATAGGGAACCAAACTTTGGGAGGAGAGTCTTGAAGAGAGGGAGGGAGTGGAAAAATGAAAAGGATCATTTCTTGACAGACAGAGAGAGAGAGAGAGAGAGAGAGAGAGAGAGAGAGAGAGAGAGAGAGAGAGAGAGAGAGAGACAGACAGAGAGAGACAGAGAGAGAGACAGAGAGAGAAGACTTTGCAGTCTTGTGCGAAGTAAAATGGGTGCTTTCACCATCAGTACCATCGTAGATAGTCAAGAACCTATCACTCAAAAGCCATACAGATCAAATGCTAAAAAAAAAAACATTTGATCTATAAGGGTTCCACAGTGTTGTAGACAGAATTACATTCGATACCACACTTATCCTAGAAGAAAAAAGGTAAAGGTGCACCCATATAGCATAATGCTAGAGAAACTGACGTGGACACAAGAGCGTCTGTATAGCAGTTTCTACTTTATTAGGATAAACAACTGATATTTATTGCCATCATCATTCATAATGGATGTAAGTTTTGTACATTACGCTAATTGGAAAATGGCACATTTCCTGTAAGAATGGACTCCGCGTGACTCATTATATCTCCCTATATTATGTTTCTAGGTCATATTCCCCGCAAAAAAAACAGGAGACAGTTAGTGGTAATTGTACAAAACTTTATTTACAACATTTTCAACCTCTTTTACAAAAACATGTACAGAGTCACAATGACTATTAAAGGTAAAAAAAAAACAAAGTACAATATGTGGGGACCTAATAAGTGCAGAAAGAGAATGCAGTTATAGTCGGCGATCCCATGTCACAATGAAGTATAATTCAGGATAAGGCTTACAGCAATTGGACTCAATAAGAGAGACCAGTCAGCATGGCTGTTATCTTGGGTCAAAGCTCTCCTCCGGTGCAGGAAGTTGGCATTGTGACAATTCTGAGGCAGATACACTGTGTGCGATGCTGCAGCTGAGCACGGCCCTGGAACTGGCATTTCTGAAATGGGTCTCCTCCAGTGCAGCAGGTTAGCATTGTGATAATTCTGGGCCAGTAAATTGGGGGGAATTTATCAACACTGGAGCAGACAAATTCTGGAGCAGATTTTCACTGCAACCAATCAGCTTCCATTTTTAAATCTTACCTGAGCAAACTGAAGAGAGAAGCTGATTGGTTGCTGTGAGCAACTGCTCCAGATTGTGTCTGCTCCAATTTTGATAAATCCCCCCCTCCCCCCGTGTGTGAAGCTGCAGCTGAGCAGAGCCCTGGAACTGGCATTTCTGAAATGGGACAAAGCCAGCCTGCTACTGGATGAGAAACTGATTATGTAGCCAGACAGGTTCTCTTAAATATAACTGTTCTACTGCATGCATGACAACATTCCTCTTTAATCCTCCTAAAACTCCCAGTAAACGCATACGACTACAGCCCCATTCTGCTGAATGTGTGGATGGGGATTCTTGTACTAAACGGTTGTAAATCCAGTGACAGGCAATAAAGAATTTAAAGGGCACTTCCATTATGTATGCACACCGTTCGGAATAATGGCTCATCTACATGTGTTATTTAAGTACCTTTTAGCATTGGATTGCCCCTTACTAGCCTATTACGTGACCGTCACCCCATCAACATCAACTATGGGTATAGCAGAGGAGGTACAGAGAGTGATGCACAAATACAGCTAAATACTGCAGCCAATGAGAAATTGGCTCAGCTTATATAATGCAGTTGCTATGGGCTATGGCACTGATCTAAAAGGTGTGTTCAGCATATTGCAAAGAAATCATTTATTAGCGTGACAAATTTCAGGCTACCAAATGATTGAGAATCTCCAACAGGACTTAACTTTTTATCCCCCTCTTCATGGAACGTAACTAACGGGGCCTTATAACAGATTCTTTAACATGTTACATACAAATAAAGGCTTTTAACGGCTAATGAAAGGTTGAGTGTTCTGCGCTATGAAACAGACCCCAAGGGGGAGATTTCACAGAGAGTAAGGGTTAACCGCAAGCTGCTGAAACTAAGGCCAGATAAGCCTCACAAAATGGTTTTAGAATAGTGAGCGCTATGGGTCTCCTGGAGTGAAGTGAGAATCCAACAATGACTTATTAAATAAGTGGTATAAAAATATATATAAATATCTCTAAGTGAACATCTTATAATGTGAAATAAAAATTGCTGAAGTGATATGTGAATAAACAAAACAAAAATCAACAATGTAAATCGACTAATAAAATTGCTTAAATATAAATAAACAAATAAATCTTCAATAAACCGTGTGTCCGTGATTTTTTCTGTATTACAGTGTACATATAACTGCGTCTATCATCATCTGTGATGTGCTGATTGATATGCAGTGGTGTATCATAAACGTGTCCTAAACTTTGAGGTTAAATAGTGTCCAAAAGTACTCCAATCTAAAAGAGGCAAAAACTTGAATGTGTATATCCAAGATGATCGTATCCTGGGGGATGATGTGTCGGAGAAGCGATGGATCCCCGTAGGGCTTACACTCACCAGATGCCGGGAGAGAGAGTCAGCTTTCTCTTCCACCGTGGTGGCTGAAAGGAGATGGTCTTTGCTCCGTCCTTCCCACGGACACACGGTTTATTGAAGATTTATTTATTTATATTTAAGCAATTTTATTAGTCGATTTACATTGTTGATTTTTGTTTTGTTTATTCACATATCACTTCAGCAATTTTTATTTCACATTATAAGATGTTCACTTAGAGATATTTATATATACACTTTTATACCACTTATTTAATAAGTCATTGTTGGATTCTCACTTCACTCCAGGAGACCCATAGCGCTCACTATTCTAAAACCATTTTAACGGCTAATAACTTGTATGAATCTTTCATCCGGGGGTTTAAATGTGGGGTATGACTGCACCCGATACGAATGACACACCTGTGTGATTGAGCAATCAAGATCGAGCCGTATCACAATGGCATGAGGAGGTCACCCCAGTTCTCGCTGGTAATATTTAGTGTCCACGCAAGTTGTCTTGCATTAGCACGCTCACTCAATCCTTGTTAAAGGCAAAGGCTGACAGTTTCTTGTTTGTGGACTGGTCGAAAGGCTTACGCTTTTTAGGAGCACCGGAGTCCTGGCTCTCTTCTTTTGGGCCCTCTGCAGAGTCCCGATTCTCCTGTTCTGTTCGCTTTCTCTTTTTTGTGTCACCAGAATCATCTCCTTTGGCCTTCTCGGTCCAAATCTTACAAAAGGGAGACACACAGGATTATTCAAAAGCACTGGATACAGTCGTCGGTATCAACCAATCAGAAATAACCTCAAACTGGATCTTGCAGAACGATCACTAAAAGCACAAATCTGTAATTTCCTTATTTCAACATAGAGAACTATGGGGTCAGGGCTTTTCCCCATAGTTCTCCTTAGGGTAACGGGAGGACACAAACTAGCATCCTCCCGTCACCCTAGGCTCAGTATATAGGGAGCTACAGTTCGCGGTATACTGAGACGCCGCAGCTGAAGCGGATCCCGACAATTATGTCTGGATCCGCCCAGCTGTGTGAGTGACAGCTGGCTCTGCCTATCTAGAGGCAGAGCCAGCTGTACCGGCCCCCTCCCCCGTCCGTTCCGCCAGTCAGCGCTGGTGGATCGGAGCGGGGAATCCAGCCCCTCCCCTGTCACGGCAGAGAGGCGTGACAGGATCGAGAGGTGAGCGAACGCCGGTATGTGTTCGCTCCCCTCCCGATCTACTGAGCCGACCTGTGACAGTCTCATTGTCACAGGTCGGCGAGAACTATGAGGTGAGTGAAAAGCGCCGACCTCATAGTTCTCCAAGTTCCAACTGTAGCTCTGCACACATTATGTCCGTCACAAGGCTGACATACTGATGGACTTTGCTGTTTGCTGTGATAGCTTTTGACCTTGGTCACCTTTTGACTGGGAGAGAGGGGAAGGCTGCAGAACAACATAACAATCCATAGAGAGGATCGAGACCCTTTATACTGCGGCGCCGCAGCTGAAGCAGACAATTGTGTCTGGATCTGCCCAGCTGAGTGAGTGACAGCTGGCTCTGCCTATCTAGAGGCAGAGCCAGCTGTACGCGCCCCCTCCCCCGTCCGTTCCGCCAGTCAGCGCTGGCAGATGGGAGTGGGGGGAATCCAGCCCCTCCCGATCTACTGAGCCGACCTGTGACAGTCTCATTGTCACAGGTCGGCTAGAACTATGAGGCGAGTGAAAAGCACTCTCCTCATAGTTCTCCTTTAGGCTCTGTTCACACCTAGGCGTATCGAATATGCGCGTTTGTCGCGCGTTTCATGTTAAAAAAAATGCGCGACAAATGCGCATTTCCGAGGGCTACTTGGCTGTATCCCAATGGAAACGCGCGACAAAAACGCAGCAAAGAAGCTCCTGTACCTTTTCAGGCGTAGGCCGTTTTGTAGTGCGTTCAGACGGGCTGAAATACGGCAAGGTGTGAACCATATCCATAGAAAACAATGAGATTTTCATGTTTGAGCGTTTTGTAGAGCGTTCGAAGAGCGTTGAACGCGCTACAAAACGTACAGGTGTGAACCAGGCCTAAAAGTGACAATAAAGTCAGGAATTGAATCTTAAAAATACATTCACGTATGATAACTATTAACAACAATGTATCTTATTTGTGTATCACTCGGCTGTAGATCCTCCGATCATCTCTGAATTGGTGATGACGCTGTCCTTCCTTCAGGAGGGGGGTTACTTTTGTTCCCCATCGTCCCTGTGTGTGTTGTAAAGTAGTCACCGCTCCAAGCTCACTCCCGGGATGGACTACAATCTCAATACAAATCAGTAAACGAAATTTGAGATTGTAGTCCATCCCGGGAGTGAGCTTGGAGACCATCTCTGTGTTTCTGGTATTGAGCAGGTCCAGACCTAACACAGCCCTCGGCAGCGTGCACAAATTGGGGAGCTCACACCGTCAATCAGAAGCTCATCAAATCCAAACTTCAACCCGACTCACCATCCTCTCTTCATTTGTCAGGGCCCGGAAGCGGCTCATTCCTTCCTTAATGATGTCCGATTCCTCGAGCCCAGGATTCTCAGATAAAATACTCTGCCGACTCTCATCCAACCAAAGCTGGAAGCCGGTTTTGGGTCTGGAAACAGAGGAAAGCCACCACGATTAATGCTGCACTGAGCACTGGCCACTTCCTACTACACCAAATTATAGTAATCCAAGATTGTTTTTTTACATGGTTCTTTATATCCATATAGATAACTAAACATGCAGAGGACTCAAAGAACTCCACAAATAACAAAAAATCTGGGACAAACCCCCCAAATACAGCATATAATCCTTATGGGACACTCTCCTCCTCCCCAATACCGAAGATTATCATTACAATCCCTATAGGACAATACAGAATATTCTCATTATATTCCTTATGGGACAAACCCCCAAAACATAAGATTCTCATTATATTCCTTATGAGACAACCCCCCCCCCAATACAGAAGATTCTCATTATAATCCCTATAGGACAAACCCCCCAATACAGAAGATTCTCATTACACTCCTTATGAGACAAACCCCCCCAATACAGAAGATTCTCATTACATTCGGTAGGCTTCATGGGAAGCCCAGGTCTCCTCATGCTGGCCACTTATATTGTGAAAGTCCTCCCATGTTTTGCAACAGACTAAATCCCATTTGTTTTTTCAACCCTGTGTGATCCATGAAAAAAAACGCATGACGCTCAAAAAACTGGTGTGTGTGTGGAAAGTGGACATTTTCGGGCAATTTTGAGAGTGATTAAACTTACAAACAGGAAAAGCTGCGCTATAGCATGTGCTTAAGACCAAATCCTTGATCAGGTTTAAGTTGGTCACTGTTATTTGTGAAACTCAACCAGCAGATTGAAGAGGTGTCTGCGCAAGTAAATCTAAACCCAGGATCAAAAATGTCATATACAGTATTGCAGCTTAGCAGTCCTTGGATGTGGCGGCTGCATTAAAACCACACTCCCAAAAGGCAGACACAAGATGACAGGTACTCTTCAACGGCAAGAAATGTCTGGGAGCGTCCCTGGTCTGCTCTCCTTTTCTTCTGATGCAATATTGTGCAAACCTCCCTGTTGGGGTCTTTGATGTTAAGTTTCCAAAGATTTTAATGTCAAGCCGCAGACTGTTCACATTACAAGTATCTGCTACATATGTTCATCGAGGGGCCAGAGTCTGCTCCTCGTTAGGCCCTGTACAAATTACCATGTTTGTGAACAGAAGCCGAGGAATGATGCTTTGGGTCAGTTCATTTTCAGATGTTAAAAGGAGAACTAGGAGGTGAACTATTTCACTCCTCCTCATAGTTCTAAGCCGACCTGTGACAATGAGACTGTCACAAGTCGGCTGAGTAAATCGGGAGGTGAGCGAACACATAGCGGCGTTCGCTCACTTTTCGATCCGGTCACGGCAGAGAGCCGTGACAGGGGAGGGACTGGATTCCCTCCTCCCCGATCCTCCAGCGCTGACTGGCGGAACGGACGGGGGAGGGTACAGCTGGCTCTGCCTCTAGATAGGCAGAGCCAGCTGTCACTCACGCAGCTGGGCGGATCCAGACATAATTGTCAGGATCCGCTTCAGCTGCGGCGTCTCAGTATACAGCTCGCGGTATACTGAGCTTAGGGTGACGGGAGGATGCTAGTTTGTGCTTAGGAGACCTGTGGGGATAAGCCCTAACCCCATAATTCTCCTTTAAGTGAGCGAGAGACCATACAGTTTGGTGGATCCTGCATTCGTATATACATTGACTTAGTTCCCAAGTACCCTACAGTATATAGCCAAACGTTTCATGACACCAGGCCATCACACCGACCTATATGGTTAAAAAGGATGTGGACTCCCCTTCCAGATGGTTGAGTTCAGGTGTCTCCAGTTAAAGGTACTTTTACTGCTTCCCCATACAAAGACGTATTAGACAACCTTGTAGTTTGGTGAAGACCCTTTTCTGTTCCAGCATTACTGTCCCCCGTGTACAAATCCAGCTCCATAAAGACATGGTTTGACCAGGGTGGTGTGGAGGAACTTGATTGGCTTGCACAGAGCCCTGACCTCAAAACCTTTGGGATGAATTGGAACGCTGATTATGATCCAGGTCTTCTCATCCAATACCAGTTCCTGACCTCACAAATGCTCTTTGTGTTGAATGGGCACAAATTCCTTGATACACCCCAAAATCATGTGGAAGCCTTCCAAGAAGATTGGAAGCTGGTAAAGCTGCAAAGGGGTTGGGGGGATGATGGGGGCAATTTAATTATAATGCCTATAGTTTTAGAATGTGTTGTGCAACAAGCTTATCTAGGTAGGATGGTCAGATGTCCACGCACTGACCATATAGTTTATATAGAGATAAATGTATGAATGATTGCGTGGAGATTGGGGCTTTTATCTCCACACAATCATGCCAGCGATCCCTTCTTTTGGGTGGTGGTCTTCCAGACTCTCAGCTTAGAGTTCCCCCCTCAGATGCTGTCAGCTTCCTATCCAGTCAGGCACCAGAAATATACAAATTGATGACGCCTGAGGTCACAAGGGACTGAGGTCTGCCACACACCAGGAAAATTAGAGAATTGCAACACGTGGATTTTTTTATCACGACCTTCAAGGAAACCTTCTTTCATCATTTTATACATTTTGAACTGTTCAACTTGTAATCATCCGGTTTCCTATTGAAAGGAGCAAACGTTTGTTAGTCTTCTATACTGTAAACGGTTATATAAGCCGAGGACTGCAGAAACAAGGCACTCTAAGTGTACTGGCCAACAGCAACCAATCATAAATCATCGTTCCTAATAGGACATTACCTCCAAATTGAATCTTTGTGTAAATTAAAAATAAAACCTCATCACCCCTTTGTCCTATTTTATTAAATGAGTCTGACTGTGTACTAAGTGCGTCAGCAGATATATGGATTCTATAATTTGTTGCATAAGCTAAAGCTTTGCATTGGGGTGGAGGGAAAAAAAAACCGTTGCTTAGTTAAGTAAAGGCCAAGAGGCGGGTTCCACTGGGAGGAGTTGTCTAGCCAATCAGAAGACAGGATTCATGTCCTGAGATTTCCAAATAATTGTTCAAAGCTTGGCCGCATCATATGTCGTTACACGCAAACAGGGATGAATAGGAGGCTGTGGTCCACAATTAGAGGAGTATGTAAAACAGACGGAGAGTTTGCAAGGCTGAGGAGGGAGGGAAGCACAGTGCAGGAAGAGAACGCATGGAGAAAATAAAGTGTTTTCCTGGATAAGATAAAAACATATTCAGTACATACCTGCAATGCATGAACAATTCCCATTTGCTTTGTTTCTATTTTTAAACCCTGTTCCTGATAGTTCTGCCTCTGCTGCCCGGAAATACCAAGCAGTGTTGTCAGCTCTGCCAAGTACTCCCTTCTAGACTACAACTTATGTAATGATGAGCAGAGGGGGTGTTCTGTAGTCCAGCAGTAAAAACTAAGGCTAGGTTCACACCTCCACTACACCTGGGACATGCGTCCTGGGAGTCGTGCGGTCCTGCACAATGCAGGCAGCGATGGCCGAGTGGCCCCATTGATTTCAATGGGGTGAGCTCTGCACGGCAATCGCAGAAAAAAAAGGTACAAGTACCTTCTTCGGAAGCACGGGCAGAATCGCGGCAGGAAACCACGCAATCCGCCCGGCGCGACTGGGGTGCCATTATAAAATAATGGCACCCACAGCGCGATAGGTTCACACTGACCGTGTGGCAATCCGCGCGGAATTGTGCATGATTGCGGTGAGGTGGCGCCTAGGTGCGAACCTAGCCTCAGGCAACACTGCTTGACATTTTAATGCAGCAAAGGCACCGTGTTGTCAACCAAACAGGAAGTTAAGGTTACATTGGATTTCTAACACATAAACGGATATGTTTCTGTACTTGCGGGATGAAACAAGCCAGAAATGGGCTTTAAAAGTAAACTTTTAACGAGTGGCTGGCTGCCGTTGCGGACTACTCCTTTTAATAGTGCTAGCTGTCTGGCTATCAACAGTTTCAGCCATTGAATTATAACTAGTATACCGAGAAGGACTTCCCCCACCTTTTCTGATCTGTATATTTGGTTTCAAAGTCAGGAACTCAAAATGTGCAGCATATCCACATGACAGCCACGGAACTATCATCTTCAGAGACCGGTAAGGCATTGGGTGGAATTTTGAATCCAATCTTACTTTTTGACTTCTTTGGTCTCTTTGACTCCTTTGTCCTCTGGAGCTGCAACTGGAGAAGAGATCTGGGTGGGTTTCTCATTTGCCTGAGAAGTCTTCGCCGTGGATTTGGATTGGATGCTTTGGAATAACGTAGCCTGACCCTACATAGGAAAAATGGACACAGCGATTTCAATCTAAAAAAGATAAAAAGCAATAAGCACAGAACAAGCCGGCAAACAAAGCAACAAAGGTCCAGCTTGTGACAACCTTTGCTCTGTGCTTCCTTATTCATACAGAAAACAAACATCCCAGCCCTGATAAAGCTACATGACAGAGCTGATAAACTGCAGACCTGCTACTGTCTATACTGTATACACACCAGAGATATTAAGAATATGATGCCACCTCGGACCAAAGGTGGTTGCTTGACTTTGGGATGGGGCAGGGAGGGACAAGGTAAGTGCGAGTTTTCAGAGGTTAATTTATTGTTACACTAGAGCAGGGGGCAGCAACATTTTCCACATTAAGTGTTAAACTTACAAGCAATCGACAATCTGCATGCCAGTGCAAAACAGCGTGCCGTATGCCTCAGATCGGCCCCAGTTCCTGCACCTTCAAACCTCAGATCACCCCAATTCCTGCAGATCAGACTCAATTCCTGCACCTTCACATCTCAGATCACCCCAATTCCTGCACCTTCACCCCTCAGATCAGCCCCAATTCCTGCACCTTCACCCCTCAGATCAGCCCCAATTCCTGCACCTTCACCCCTCAGATCAGCCCCAATTCCTGCACCTTCACCCCTCAGATCAGCCCCAATTCCTGCACCTTCACCCCTCAGATCAGCCCCAATTCCTGCACCTTCACCCCTCAGATCAGCCCCAATTCCTGCACCTTCACCCCTCAGATCAGCCCCAATTCCTGCACCTTCACCCCTCAGATCAGCCCCAATTCCTGCACCTTCACCCCTCAGATCAGCCCCAATTCCTGCACCTTCACCCCTCAGATCAGCCCCAATTCCTGCACCTAGACACCTCAGATCATCCCCAATTCCTGCACCTAGACACCTCAGTTCATCCCACTTCCTGCACCTTCACACCTCAGATCACCCCAATTCCTGCACCTACAGACCTTAGATCACCCCAATTCCTGCACCTAGACACCTCAGATCATCCCCAATTCCTGCACCTTCACACCTCAGATCACCCCAATTCCTGCACCTTCACCCCTCAGATCACCCCAATTCCTGCACCTTCACCCCTCAGATCACCCCAATTCCTGCACCTAGACACCTTAGATCACCCCAATTCCTGCACCTAGACACCTTAGATCACCCCAATTCCTGCACCTTCACCACTCAGATCACCCCCAATTCCTACACCTTCACACCTCAGATCACCCCACTTCCTGCACCTTCACCCCTCAGATCATCCCCAATTCCTGCACCTTCACACCTCAGATCACCCCAATTCCTGCACCTTCACCCCTCAGATCACCCCAATTCCTGCACCTAGACACCTTAGATCACCCCAATTCCTGCACCTAGACACCTCAGATCACCCCACTTCCTGCACCTTCACCCCTCAGATCACCCCAATTCCTGCACCTTCACATCAGCCCCAATTCCTGCACCTTCACCCCTCAGATCACCCCAATTCCTGCAGCTAGACACCTCAGATCAACCCCAATTCCTGCACCTTCACACCTCAGATCACCCCAATTCCTGCACCTTCACCCCTCAGATCACCCTAATTCCAGCACCTTCAGATTTTACATCAACCCCAATTATTGTACCATCCGAAATGCATGGGTTTTAGACTCATACCAGCTGCAGCTTGCAGTTCCCAGTCTAGGAGGAGGAAGAGGGCAAGCAGATGGGCTTCTGCACATAATGTCTGCAGCTGCCAGTAGGCCCGCAATGGTACTGGGAGGAGGTCCATTACCTGAACATCAGGCTGGCCTCTCTCTCAAACGGCAAGAAGGTGGTTGGGCCACGGGCGCAAAGGGACATGCCAAGCCAGGTTTTCTAATAGACTACCTAGTGAGCTATCAACTACAACCTATGGCAGCGGCACTGCATTTGTAGGAAGCAGGGGCCCACAGGAGGATCTTTTCGTGGTCCGTGGTCCTGCATGCATGTCACAACAATCTTCCAAAAACCACTGAGTGTCATTGTGTCCTTGCCCTGGCATTCGTGCCTTAGGTTGCCTATTCACAGACTAGGGATTAGGACCTTGCAGGTTAAAACAACACTTCTACTTGTAACAAAAATTCGACCAGAACCACCCTATAACACGAAGAAGCTAAATAGTGACCTCTCTGGCATGCGGAGACTGAAATCTTTGCTTTCTTGCACAGCCTGCTAAGTCACTACAGGACACAGCAGTGATAAAGCAGTCGGTGGGAGAACCCAGAGCACCTGGCGAGGGACACGCCGACACATCCAGAAGCATTGGATTTCGGAGGCGGACACAGCTCTGCAAAAGAGCAAAGATTGTACTTGCAGTCCATTGGAGAGGTTACATATTCAGCTCCTTGTAGGATTTTTTGGGCTGGATTTTATTTTATACAAGTAGCAGAGTCGTTTTAAGCTTCTGAAGGGATGGGTTATATTTCTAGGGTGGTTTGCGTCAATTTTATATCAGAGTTTATAAACTATTAGATACTTTTACATATTTGTAATTAGGGATGCACCGATATATCGGCGGAAAATGGCACTTTTGGCATAATGCCGAAAGAGCCATGTTTCGGCCGATACATCGGCGCATCCCTGGTTTCTTTTCTCCCCGCTGGCCGCTGTTCCAGCGGGGAGAAAAGAAAGTGACAGCCGGCCGAGCGCGCTGTGAGCGGCAGCGTCTCTCCTCCCACACCGCTCTGCCGCCTATCACAGTCCGGCAGAGCGGTGTGGGGGCGGAGACAGCGATGTCACAGGACAGTGTATCTGAGAGAAAAGCAAGGTACGCACACTCAGCGATCGCTGAGTGTGTGTACATAATTGAGGATATGGTATGTTAACTATATCCTCAATTATGAATGAATGGGAGTGATCTACATCACCCCCATTCATTCATAATTGTAGTTATAGTAAACAAACCATGTTCTCATGTTCTCATGTTATCAATGAACAGGAACACTCAGAGGTTTCCTGTTCATTGATAACAGGGGCTGCAGAATAAGAGATTGAGGACTCTGTTCTCAATCTCTTTTTCTATTTTAAAAAGGGAAATATCATCACTGAGGATTTTCCCCTCTCTGACTCTGATTGCACATTTTTTTCAATAGCGTCGGGATGGCCGCCTGTGTCCCCGTTAGGGAGCTTTCTCGTCAATTCTTGCCCTGGACACCCAGGGGACTGCCGTGTGCAAAACATTTTGTTTCCCATTTCCCCTCCCTAAAGTGCCATTGTCATGTACAGTAATACCTTGGTTTACAAGTAACTTGGTTTGAGAGCGTTTTGCAAGACAAGCAAACATTTCTGAAAAATTTTGCCTTGATATACAAGCAATGTCTTGCAATAAGAGCAACATTTTGTAGAAAAGCGCCACCCGAATAAGGCTGTAGCAGTGCGAGCGATGAGTCTGTTTAACGACAATGCAATGTCACATGTTTACGCTGGAATTAAGGAGATTAAGGGGGGATATGATTTTCATGTACAAGATGTTCAATGGTGACAGCAACATTGGCAACAAACTGTTTGAGATTAACTCTATTACAAAGACTAGAAGCCACCACCTAAAGTTGGTGGAGAAAAAATTCCGGCACAATGGGCGAAGAGGGTTCTTTACAGTAAGAGCGGTTAAGGTCTGGAACTCACTGCCAGAGTGTAGATTTGTTCAAGAAACGTTTGGACAATTTCTTGAGGGACCGTAATATGCAGGGATACCAGTATCCCTAAGAATGAGATGATGCGTGGACCTATATGGGTTGGACTTGATGGACGTATGTCTTTATTCAACCCCAAATACTATGTAACTATGTCACATTGGATAGATTCCTTGTTAAGGTTTCACGAAATGAAAAAGATTCCATTGAGTCAAGAGATAGCAGTGATTCCGTTAGTTATAGTGAAAGTCATCCTGCACAATAATCCTCCTCTGACTTGTCCCCCTCACACCAGCCACGGAGGTACCGGTAATTGGTTTATTTTTCTATATATTTTGTACAGTATTATATAACAGTACAGTATTGTAATCATTTTTATATGAATATTTTTGGGTTGTGGAACGAATCATCTGAATTTCCATTATTTCCTATGGGGAAATTAGCTTTGATATACAAGCGCTTTGGATTACAAGCATGCTTCCGGAACGAATTATGCTCGTAAACCAAGGTATTACTGTATTACTATGAAGAATCTACAAGACAGCCAATGACACAATTATTTCAATAAAAGGAAAACAAGAATGCAGCGCTTAAAAGATGGGAAGTCCAGATGACAGCAATGTCTTGGGTCACCTAAACAGGAAGCAAGGGAAAATTCCCCAACAGGGAAATGGCAAAACCTGACAGAGGCGTTATCCCTTTGTCTATACAAAATGAACAATAGGTTTTGGCCGGAGGGGTGCTTTACAAACTCTTATGCATTAGCCAGTTGATAAAGATGCACGCTGTGGGTCTGGGCACTTGATAAAAATGATAAAGGGCAGCCAGTTCTGTGCAGGTGCAGCAGCACGTTGATATGGCACATTACAGGGGGGGTGACGCATCATCTGTAGGAGACAGGAGCAGCCGAAAGCCTTTTCATTTCCTGAACAGGGATCCCGTGGATCAGATTAGTCAGGCACATGATACATTACTGCGTAAATTACCTGCTTGGATTTCGTCCTTGGAGCAAGAGGCTTTATAACCACAGAGTCTTGCTTGCCTGAGGCCAGGTTTGCAGAACTCGGGGCCTTTTTACTTATTTTACTCATATTATCCAGGATACGAGACGAGTTCCCAGCCAGGGCCGGGCTTTTCTGGCTGGCCGATACCTATGGATGTAGATGGGAAGATGTTACCACAGAATAAAGAGTTGCACGTATAGGACACAGATACTTGGATTATTTCTTTTTTAAACTGTGTTTATTACTCTCAAACAGTTGTAGGTTTACTCTCAAATCATAGAAATGGAAGTTAAAATGTATAAACTTTGACTCAGGTGAGTTATTAGACCATATCCAGTAGCTGGTCTGATAAACTTTTAGATTGTAAGCTCTCATGCTCAGGGCCCTCCTAACCACCTTGTCTTGAGTTGTATCATAAACTGCTTTGTCCCCCTTTATATTGTGAAGCACTGGGCAAACTGGCGGCGCTCTAATACTCCTGTATAATAATAAAAAATATACTTTAAGGTGGGCTTACATTAGGCTTTAAAAGTCACATGGCTTCGGACATAATTTTTCCCCAGCAGGGAGCCACTTGTGCTACATACAGCCTCCCATAGACTTCAATGTCTGTACACAGGGTATATATGTCAGAACAACTGCGTTTAGGGTGGTGTGCCTGGATGCACAAAAGTCTGGCCTATACCAGCATACAGTAAATCGACTTTAAAGGGAGGCTGTGCGCAGCTCCTGTACCTTCCTGGCGGGGATACATTTGCTGTAGTTTACATTATACAGCCACAGGAAGCCGTGTGCATGAGCCCTTAAGAAGGCCAGGGTGGTTTATCTGGATTTTAGAGTAAGTGCAGATCACACAGGAGGCCCCAGACTTCATGAAATTTGTTAGCGCAATTTCTCTTCCGGCATATAACTTATTTATAAG